CACCAACAATCATGCCACGTTCAAAGTCACTCAAATCACCTTTCTTCCCCATACTGATGCTCGGTTTGAACTGCAGGAGATTGTCTTGACCGTGTCTACATGCCTAAATGCACTGAGCTGCCGCAATGTGATTGGCTGCTTAGAAATTAGGTGTTAACGAGCAGTTGGACAGGTGTACCTAATAAAGTGGCCGGTGAGTGTATATGTGTACATAATGAAACCCAACATTCAATGTCAAATTACAATATTGCGTACAAGTTAATTGTTGGAAACTCACAGCCTAATCAAAACGTGCAATGGTTTCCTGAGGGTTTACATGATCGATCACTTTGGGTTAGTAGGCAACAAAATGATGGAGGAGACTGTTGACTTTACAGATACCTCGAAGACACAATCAGCACCTTTCAAAATTAGGCTAGCCCACAAAAGGTCATGGCTAATGAAGCTGGCTTTTCACAGAGTTCTGCATCCAAGCATGTAAATAGAAAATTGAGTGGAAGAGGGAGATGGGTACCCAAAAAACTTGCACTCAAGTAACACTAATAGTAACACAAAGAAAGATAAAAAAATAAATAAACATACAGTAAGCTACATACAGTAATTACAAAATAACAAATTTAGGTGGAATGGACATGCTTTGTTTAATACACTTTTCAAGTTATAAACCCATTCCCACAGACTGCCATTCTGCGTTCCTGAGCAAGACCCTTAACCCCACACTGCTCCCTGGGCGCTGCACAGTGCCAGCCCACTGCTCCCCAAGGCGATGGGTTAAATGCAGAGATAAATTTCTCTAGTGTTTGATCAATAATTTCTATTATTATCATCAATTATTATTATTAACTAAATCAATAGTTACCGTGTAATAGAATAGGGTACCGGTAAATCACAGTATGCTATTTACTGTATTCTTACTAGACCTCCAAATGAAATGGCAAACTCACTAAATGGGAAAAAAAACACTAAATTAATAAGCGAGTACAAAAAAAGAAGAAACTTTGTCTGTCAGTGATGCATATTTGTTTAAAACAAGCTTGTTTTTTTTTATGAAGTGAAGTTACTCACAATGTGTAGAGTAGCCAGAACATTTACTCTAGTAAGACCAGAAAGTACAATGATATAAAATTGCTCCTAGTAATGCTTTTATTTTTATTTATTTTTTTTTGAAGTTCCTCAAGTAAATATATAACTTAGCAAATGTAACTAATTACTACCCACCTCTCAGGCAGAGGCACAGAATCCCTGTTGCTTGAAGTCCAATGACCATGGTGTTCCTATTACATCTATGGGCTGATGTCAATAGGAAGATAAAAAAACCCCACCAGATCCAATGAGGCAAATTACCTGAAAACATCCTTTCGTGATGAAAGAAGAACAATAGAAAAGCGATGTATACTGTAGCACGGAGGTTTTCAACGTGGGGTCCGCGACCCCAAGAGGGTCCATGGAGGTACTGCATGGGGGTCATGAAAATTTTGGTTGCTTTCACTTTTTTGTTATACATATATTCCCCCCTGCAATGTTTTTCCACTANCTCACAATGTGTAGAGTAGCCAGAACATTTACTCTAGTAAGACCAGAAAGTACAATGATATAAAATTGCTCCTAGTAATGCTTTTATTTTTATTTTATTTTTTTTAAGTTCCTCAAGTAAATATATAACTTAGCAAATGTAACTAATTACTACCCACCTCTCAGGCAGAGGCACAGAATCCCTGTTGCTTGAAGTCCAATGACCATGGTGTTCCTATTACATCTATGGGCTGATGTCAATAGGAAGATAAAAAAACCCCACCAGATCCAATGAGGCAAATTACCTGAAAACATCCTTTCGTGATGAAAGAAGAACAATAGAAAAGCGATGTATACTGTAGCACGGAGGTTTTCAACGTGGGGTCCGCGACCCCGAGGGGGTCCATGGAGGTACTGCATGGGGGTCATGAAAATTTTGGTTGCTTTCACTTTTTTGTTATACATATATTCCCCCCTGCAATGTTTTTCCACTAATTGAAACACACGTGTTTAAACACATGTTTTTAAACACACATTAACATGAATTCAACACACTGTAGCAAACAGATTAACAGAGGCATGTGATTTCTTTTCAGTCATCAAGCCGGGCACCATTTCCTTCAAAACACCTATCCCAGGAATCCGAATCAGAAATACTTTATTATCACAAAAACTTTTGTTACATTATCCCATATGTAATAGAGTGACTAAAGAAGCAATGACATAACGACACAACAACAGGCCGTAAGCAACATTATCTGGGTGGGCCCCATATGAAGTACAACACCCCATCAATTGTACATAATGGTTAAGGTTTTAATCGACGCTCTGGGTTACCCATAATTCCAAGCTGTAGTGTAAAAGATAAAATACTCAAATAAATCGTTCTTTTAGGATGTTTATTGCGGTTTGAAACATATGAGTATTCATATGTTTCAAACCGCAATACTCATAACTCATATTTATGAGTTTATTTTCTACCAACCGTCTAATGAACTATACACAGATATTAAGATAGTAATTACAAGTACTGTTTAAACGGTTCACCACCGTCTTGTAACATGGCATGGTTGGGATATAAATAAGGTCCGGTCATAAGTATTGCTATCACTAGAAATAAAGAAAAGTTAATATTCGCACCACAATGTCTGCATAGAGACGTCCGAGTATAGTTAAAAATAACTCAAATGCTGTTGAAAACCGACAATCATTAAATTAGCTTTTATTTTGAAATCCCCAGCTGTTTCCCTGTCCGTGCATGTCTGACTTGACTGATTGCAGACGGCGTGACGTCGGGTTGACTCGGTCAGCTGGCTCCTCCATCCGAGCGGCAGGGAGAGCCTCTCCCAAAGGGAGACATCACCATCAACGCCCGACGCTGCTTCATCATCTGCCCGCCGGAAGAGGAGAAAAACATGCCGCTGTAGCGGCGGATCGGACTCCATCGGCCATCCGGAGACTGGGATTATTTATTCACCTTTTGATTGATTTCATTACCCCGCCGGTGTAATGGCAGGGGTCCATGGCTGCGGCTGCTGAGGAGCAGGTGCAACATCATCATCATCATCGTCGGAGGCTTTTTGATTCCTCGGCATGGGCTGGGAGAGGGCCGAAGCCCAGGCTGGATCACTCCGAGAGAGGGGGCCAAAGGCTGGGCCGCGGCTGGGGGCCAAAGCCTGCTGATACAGCTCTCTACATATTTTAGCCCGTATTTTCCCAATGAAGCTCAAGGTTATCTGCATGCAGCAGGACGCCACACATCTGTAGAAATAATGGAATAAGCGCTTCCTGCTGTCTGTTCATCTATTTTCCTCTTTTTCTAAGTGGATCGCGTCCAGCCCTACAGGCCTGAACATTTCCTGCTGAGCCTTGTTTGGATAAACAGAGTTGCACCGCCAAGATGATGGAGATAGATGAGGTGGTCTACCAGGACGACTACGGCTCCGGCACCGTGATGTCGGAGCGCGTGTCGGGCCTGGCCAACAGCATCTACCGGGAGTTCGAGCGGCTCATCCACAGCTACGATGAGGAGGTGGTGAAGGAGCTGATGCCGCTGGTCGTCAACGTCCTGGAGAACCTGGACGCGGTGCTCACCGAGAACCAGGAGCACGAAGTGGAGCTGGAGCTGCTGAAGGAGGACAACGAGCAGCTCATCACCCAGTATGAGCGGGAGAAAGCGCTGCGCAAGCAGGCGGAGGAGGTGGGTGACACACAGCTCCTTCAGCATCACCTCCTCCAGCTGCAGATGGAGCTGCTTGTTGATCACTATGTTTAACTTGTTTTGACAGGGCTAAATAATATGTGTCCTTAATCATAACAAAAAACAGCTCATATTATGACACAGTTACTGATACACTCTAGTAGGGCTGAGCCAAGGTATAAGCGAACCAGGCTGCTGCTTAGACCAGCAGGGGGCTTCACCAGGACATCACATTTCTTTAGTTTAAAGCTTTCAAATTTTCTTGGTGATTTCTAATAGCCACATTCTACGGAAGAGGATTAGGGCCAGACTCTAATCTATCTCAGAA